CTCCCCCCGGCCGGGGGGAGGGAAGGAGAAGCCGCCGGCGGGGGGTTATTTTACATGGAGGGGTGGGGGGGGGGGGACACAGTTGGAGGGGGCGGCCAAAAGCCACCTTGCACATCGGGGGAAGTCAGGGGCTGCAAGAGACGAACACTGATTTTCTGGGCTTCCCCAACTGGAACTTGGTTCCCCAAGGGCTCTAGTTTCCCGACCACCCAACACACCTAACCAACTTGGCTGGTCATCAGGAAAACTAGCCAAGCTGAGCCTGTGTGAAAACAGCCCCTTGTGCATGACACAAATGCAACCCTGCAGTGCCCTCTTTGCACCCAAACCTCTTTTGCCCCAGAACAATTTAGTCCAAAGAGCCCAACTAACTCCAACAACAGATGCGGTAACACACCCCAAAGCTGGTCCTGTTCTGGAAAAGTGGAGGCTGTTTCTTTTATCTTCTACGAAGGCACACTTTTACGGTTCGGTGTGACAGATCTGCACGCTCATTTAAACACCAACCCCCCAACAATACTCCCAGTTTGTACACAGCTTTGCCCCAATATCATAGGGAGAAGACAAAATAGGAGATTTAAAATTCCTTTCCAGGGTTAGAAGTGAATCTGATTCTAAAAGCACTGGACTGAGAAGATACGCTATCCTGGGGCCATTCAAAGAGGGTCTGTCTAGACAACAGGATCTGAAGCTACCCATGCAGATGTTTCTGGTTGATCCTCCAGCTGAGTAAAATCTCAGGGCTGCAGCCAGTCAGAGCAGATCACAAGGAGAAAAGAAGGCCGTGAGCGTTCTCTATAGAAAACTGGCCGTGGGAAAATGTCCCAAGTATATTTGGAACCATACAGCTGGAAGACACCACTAAGGTCATCCAGTTCACCCCACTGCCCAAGTCAAGCATCCCAAAGAGATGCTGGAACACGTCCAGCCAAGGGACCCCCCCCCCCAAGAGGAGTCTTTGCTCCTCTTGTCCAACTGCTCTTTGTCTTAGGAAGACCTTCACTGAGACTCCACCTTCCTGGGTCTCCCTCCCTCCATGTCCTTCACCCTGGAAGGAGAGAGAAGAGGTCTTGAGCATCTTCAGATATCTGAAGAGAGCTCTCTTAAACCATCTCTTCTCCAGGCTGAACCTTTCCTAGGACTTAGTGTCTTCTCCCCTGACCATCCTCCTTGCACCGCTCTGGACCCCTTCCTGCATCTCTCAATCCTCCTCCAAGGACGCTGCCCAGAGGTGGACCCAGGACTCCAGGTCAGCTCTCACCTCTGAAGAGGAGAATGGAAACATCTGTCATCCACCTCTACACCCCACTCAGGGGTGTCCGTAGGGTATAGTCCAAAAATGTGCCTTGCACATTAAAAAAAAACAACAGGTGTGCTTCAATCACACCACCACAGCTGCCATCTTGACCGCTTTGACCACAGCCTGCAGACACCCCTGCTAGGCGGGAGGGGTCTTTGGCCCGATCCAGCACCAATCTCCTTTACAGGACAGGAAGCTTTCAAGAAACCTCTCTCATGGATGGGAAATAGATCCATGACAGAGAAAGCCAACAGTGGGGCAGTCAGATGACAAGGGGACAGCAGCTCTTTGGGCAAGGCGTGCAAAAAATGGTCAGAAAGAAGAGACTCCCCCCCCCCCCCCGCCCTGTTCCCTTCCACCCTGTGAGTTTGGAGAGAGGGTAAACTCTGGCCTCTATCAGAGGCCTCTGCAATCTTTTCGAGCCCTCGGTAAATATTTCCACCCTGACCCTGATGTTGCAAGACTTTTGCAATAAAAAGGCCT